ATGATTTGCGTGTGGTTTGCAAAGCTGAGAGAACCCAAAATCGCCTCGGAGGACAAAAGATTTTTGTACTTCCGAAGCAGCGAGCCGATAAAAAGGTCAAATTGACGTCAACCTTTTGAAATCCGGCTTGACGATTGGTCGGACGAAAAGATTTTTGTACTTCCGGTGCGGAGCGAGCCGGTCGGCCGGAGGCGATTTTGGTCGTCTCTCAGTTTACGAACCAACTCGTGCCGACCCGCGTCCGTTCGCCGCCCGCCGCGCGCCCCCTCGCGCCCCCCGCACGCCTTCGCTCACCGTCCCCCCGCCCCAGGTACAACACACATCACATCATGTCTGGCAAAGGAAAGGGTGGACGCGGCAAGAAGTCCGGCAAGGCCGGCACCTCCAAGGCGGCCAAGGCCGGGCTCCAGTTCCCGGTCGCGCGCCTCAACCGCTTCCTGAAGAAGGGCAAGTACGCCGGCCGCGTCGGCGTCGGCGCCGGCGTCTACATGGGCGCGGTCCTCGAGTACCTCTGCGCGGAGATCCTCGAGCTCGCGGGCAACGCCGCCCGCGACAACAAGAAGGCGCGCATCGTGCCCCGCCACCTCCAGCTCGCCGTCCGCAACGACGAGGAGCTCAACAAGCTCCTCGGCTCGGTCACGATCGCGTCGGGCGGTGTTCTCCCGAACATCCACGCCGTGCTTCTCCCCAAGAAGTCCAAGTCCAAGGCCTAAGCGCCTTCGACGGCTCCGCGCGCGCGTCGACCGGCGCCGGCCGGCCCTGGCTACAAGTCCGGCGCACGGCGCGCTCCGCGGCGCCACCACTCTCAACCACCGGTGTTTTCGAACACCACCCTTTCGCGGGAAGACTTTTCGCGGACTCGCTCGCGAACTCGCGAGCGGACCTAGATCGCGGACGCGCTCCCTCGCTCCCTCGCCTCGCGCGTCCCGCTCGCTCCCTCGCCTCGCGCGTCCCGCTCGCCCCCTCGCCTCGCGCGCCACCCCGGAATCATAATGTCCTACTTCCCAGCGCGCGACATCCCCAGGGGAGGACGTCCTCTGCGGACGTCGTCGACGGGCTCGGAGCGTAGCTTAGCGACGCCCCCTATCTAGAAGAGGACCTCGACGGCGCCGTCGGCGCGACCCGTGGCGGCGCCGAGCGCGCCCGCGGGCGCGTTCCCGGCCGGGCCGCTAGTCCGAGTCGCCCGCGCGCGTCCACTTGGCGTCCGCGTGGCTGCCCGTGACCTGGTCCTCGATGCCGCCCTCGTTGCTGCCGCGGAGGATGCGGAAGTAGCCCGCCTCGCCCCAGTAGGGGTTCCAGGAGTTCGCGACCTTCCAGTACTTGGTGCCGTTCTCGACGCCCCAGCCGACGAATTTCACGGCGTGGCCGCCGGCCTCCTCGCCGGTGACGTGGTGGTAGATGCCGCCCGCGTAGTTCTCGAAGTCCTCGTAGACCTAGGGCGCGCGGCGGATCGCGCGGGGGGGCTCGCGCGCGCGCGCGCGTCGTCGCCGGTCTGCCACCGTGAAGGCGGTCTCGACGGGCCCGCCCTCGGCGATCATCGCCATGATCGCGGCCTCGCCCGACGCCGTCTGCACGTCGCCGGCGAAGGTGTGCTTGTCCGCGGCGAAGGCGTCGTGGCCCGCCGCCGCCGTCGCGTCGCAGGCCTTTGGGCCCTCGGGGCTTTTCTCGGACGGGCAGCCGGCGTCGCCCTCGGCGGGGTAGGGGTCGTCGCCCCGGGGCCCGTGGTGGTGGCAGTGCGGCGCGAACCAGTCGGCGCAGAGGCCCGCGCCGAAGGGCCCCGTGCCGTTGTACTGGCCGCCCGTGACCGCGCCGGCCTTGGCGACGTACGTCCACGGCGTTATGATCTGGCCGCCGTCGCAGCCGTCGACGTTCGCGTTGAAGCAGACGTCCTGCGCGGAGAGCGGCACGGCGACGGCGCCGCCCGTGGCGATGCACTGGCGGTCCGACGCCGCCTCGGCGCCGGCGAAGGCCCAGCAGCAGCCGCAGTTCGACTGGTCCCGAATGTCGCCGATGAGTTTCGCGCACTCGGGCCAGCGCGCGGCGCTGTCGAAGGCCTCGGGCGCGGCGCCGCCGCGCGGCACGTAGTCGACGACGTCGCCCCGCGCCTTGGCCGCGGCGACCTCGAGCTTCATGTCGCCCTTGGCGCCGAGCATGGGCGCCGACGCGCCGGGGGGCGCCGCGGCGAAGCGCGGGTGCGCCGCCGCCCGCCAGGTCGTCGACGCGGCATTGACCGCGTCGATGTGGGCCTGCCGCGCGGGGTGGACGACGGCCGCCGAGACGCTCGACGCGACCACGAGGAGGGCGAAGGACATCGTCGAGTCGGAAGAAAGCGGGAGCCAATGGGAAGCGAGCGCTTCGAGAAGCTTGCCCCTCGCGTTGCCGGGCTGCCCACCTCGGCGCAGGTTCCTTCGGCGCGGCGCGCGCGCCGGCGGGCGCCACGTGGACCGTCCTGCCGCTGGACCCGCGGCGCATGCCCGTGCGCTATGGGAGGCCTCCGAAGCGGAACCGGCGGAGCCGGCGCTGCCGCGTCGCCAACGACGACGACGTCTGCGTGGGCATGTCGACGATCGGCGAGGACGACGTCGTCGCCGCGGCGGCCGTCGACGACCTCGAGGTCCGCGCGGGCGGCGCCGGCGCGGCGCACAGCCTGCCGCCCCTGCCGCGAAACGCCGGCGGCGGCGCGGCGTCCTTCGCGGCGG